TCTTATATTAGCATCATTTTTCCTTTGCATATGTACTGGGGTGTGGATTTTGAAGCCATTTTATTTGCTTTCTTTTTTGAAGGACTTTAAAAATTTCTCTACAGAGGTTGGATCCTTTCATTGTTTTCTGACTTGATAATGGATTTATTCATCTTTTTTAAACACACATTTTTAAACATCTTAATTGTTTTAGAGATATGAGCTAAATGTGTTTTTGCCGCCTTGATTTAATCTCGTTTTCTGTAAACATCATAATTTAAACAATTTTTCTAATTGATCCTATTTTATATTATGCTCTTATGATCAATAAAATGTGATTTGAAAGAAATCTTATTTATCTCCTTTCTTTTCATCTCCCTTCTCAGGTTTTGGTGAATTGATATGGAATTTAGTTTTTTGATGATGATTCTTTTTTCTGAAATACTAAACAAATGTGTTAAATTTTATAAGTTCATTTTAAACAATTATTTAGAGTTAGCTATGTATTTTTAAAATAATTATATATTCTTGCATCATTTCTTGAGTTCTGTATTCAGGTTAGTTTTTGGTTTTACTTGGATAATTTGTTCTGTGAAAGGACTTACGTGGCATATTCTTTGACTTTTTAATGTTCCAATATGGATTAATTTTGCTCTCATCAGAGAATGATAATTTGCTTGAATAAAAACATTTAGGATTATCTCATTACCTCAGAGTTCTGAAATACTTCCCCACAGCATGGTACATAAGGTATCGGAACCCAGGGCTAGTCTCTCCTTTGTAAGCAGCCAACTTCTGGGTTTTTTTTGTTTTGTTTTGTTTTTTAATTCTTGGAATTCAGAAACAATATCAGGATGAGACTGAATGTGGACTTTTTCAACAATTCTGATCACTATCCTGCAAGCTCTCTCTATAAAAAATAAATACAGGTTTTAGTTGGATTTTGTATTGTTTTCTCCAAAAAAATTCTCTCTGAAATCTTAGTGTCTAGCAGATATCTTAGCATCAGGTAGGTGCTAACCAAATGTCAGTTGAATGAATAAATGACAACCAATCATAAAATGATGTTTCACCTGCCTTCAGTCTGCCACAGCAAACGTCAGTGAAAGGAAAGAAAATAAAGACTCAACTCAATAATTGATTCTCCTGTGAACACTCCAGTCCCATAGAGAGTAACCTCCCTGCCTCCAATCCAACTTTTTTCTAGTTGGCCACCACCAGGGAGACACCAGTGCTCCCAGGCCATGAACTGTGAAGGGAAGGCTGCTTGCCCACCCATCACACCCAGAGTCAAGCTGGTTCATCCACCTGTAGACACATTCAACTCATTTGTGGCAGGGTGGGGATCCAAGATCCCTGTATAGTCCCCATTCATACAACAAGACTGAAACTCTACCTGCCCGCTAGCTCACCACTTCCAGGTCAAAGCCAGTCATAGACCCCTTCAACAGCGATAACTGGTCTGACGGGGGGAACTGAGAAAAGGGTATTTTTCCTAGATTAACTGATAACCTGTATTACCACCGCTGCCCCTCTTCCACTGTGGATTGTGCAGATTTTCCTGTGGGTTATACAGCTGCCCTCACAATGCCTAGTGCCTTCAGATAATGATTTTGAGAAGAGCAGAGTGAAGAGACAGCGGGGAGACTGAGGGGACAGGGAGAACTGGCAGGACCAGTGAGAAGAGTGAACGTAGACGCTAAGGGAGAAAATACTGGGTAAGTAGAGAAAGACAAGGAAGACCAAGAATTTAGGGAAAGGGCGGCCAGGCAGCAGACAAGCAGAGGACATCACAGAGAGAAAAGGGATGGGGACGCTGTTGGAAAGGCCACGGGGCATGACCGTTCACCTTCTGTCACTTCTTTTCACAGAACAGGACATTGAGAATCCAAGTGTGGACTCAATTTCTCCAAGGCCAAAAGAAATGAAAATTTCCAGCCACACCACAGACTGCAGACTTCGTCATTAACCAGGAACTGGGGTGACAGAGGAGATCAGGAGGATGCCGGCAGGAGCAGGAAGAAATCTGGAGGCCAGACAGTGGGAGAACGCCTCCAGACAGTGGGAGAACTGGAGGGGAAATGAAAGACTGTGTGGGAGGCCTGTGGCTGGGGGAAACTGAAGGGTTTCTTGGCAGGGAAGTGGGCAGAGGCAGAGGTTTGTCTGTGTGCCAAGGGAAGTCAGATGAGAGTGAGAGAGGGCTTAGAGCAGAGCCCATATCTGCGTTCTGAGGGCACTTGCCTGCTGAAACATCCTTTGCCTGACAGAGCTTCGATGCTGCTCCTGCTGCCCTTGTTTTTCAAGGGACTTCTCTGCCATGGGGAAAGCGCAGAGGGTATGATCCCAGGTGGAGAGATGCCTGTAGTTGGGCACTGCAGGGTGGAGAGGATGTTCTGGGGAGGACCTGGGGAAGGGAGTAAGGCTCCTACAGGATGCCTTTGGAGTCTGTATGCCAAGCAAGTGTCCAGGTGAAGTGTTCTTGCCCCCAATTCAGTTAATCTCTCTGATTTTGGGGAGAAGAAGCTGGACCATGGGGAAGGGGGGATGGGTATGTGTGCAAACTGTGTAACCATCTCCATCCTTCCTCTCCACCTTGTCTCCATCCTTTTATATCCTCCCTCAGCTCCCCAGGTTCTAGGACCCCATCATCCAGCTGCAGAAGAGCCCCCCTCCTTCCGCGTACTCCAGACTGTTTCCTTTGCCAACAGCAGCTGGACGCACACCGATGGCTCAGGCTGGCTGGGCGAGCTGCAGACTCATGTCTGGGACAGTGTCTCGCATACCTTCCTCTTTCTGCGGCCCTGGTCTCGGGGCAACTTCAGCAAGGAGGAGCTGAAGAGCATCCAGGCAGTACTGCAGCTGTACTTCCACGATTTCCCTAGGGTGGTGCAGAGCTTTAGCAGGCAGTTTCAGTTCGAATGTGAGTCTCTCGTTCTGAAGGGTAGATGGTGTACGGGTCCTGACCCTCATCCAAACTTCCTGACCTTATTCCTTGTCCCCTTTTGGTCGCCCTCCCTCCTCGGCTTCACCCTTCACCACCTTCCGCACTCTACCCCTCGCCCCACCGTAGACACAGCCGGGCCTTAATGAACACAGCTCTCCATCCCCGAAAATTCCCTCATGCTCTAAACCTTGAACAGCTGTCTCCTCTTGAACTTCTACGCACCTTTCCTGGCCTCAGGTTCAGCCTTTCTTCGCCGAGATTCTGCCCCTCCTTTCTTCCTGGTCTGAGTGTTCACAGAGTTCCACTGGTGCCTAACCACTCCCCAGTGACTTCTTCCAGATCGTCTTCTGTTTTTCTAACAACTCTCCTATCTAGCCCTTCCCCATTAATTATTTCAAAATACCTTTATCATCTCCAAAATGTCTTCCCACAAATTCCCTCCTTTTTTCCTGCCCCATTGTTAGTCCTCCATGAAATTCCCCAGAACTTTTTCCTTCTCTTGCATCTCTTCACTTCTTAGGTTGCTTACGCCCCTATTCTGTAATCTTTTCCATGTTGATTCTCTCTTCCTTTTTCACCCCCAGACCCCTTTGAGGCCCAGGTATCAGCTGGCTGTTTAATACATCCTGGAAAGCCCTTGGAAGCCTTCTTATATGCAGCATATCAAGGATCAGATTTCCTGAGTTTCCAAGGAAACTCTTGGAAACCATCTCCAGGAGCAGGGAGTCGAGCTCAGAACGTCTGTAGGGTGCTCAGCCACTACCGAATTATTAAAGAGGTCGTGCAGAGCCTTCTCGATGACATCTGCCCTCGGTTTCTGGCAGGCCTCCTTAAAGCAGGGAAGTCAGACCTAGAACGCCAAGGTGAGCCCAACTCTCTCTCCCCTCCTATTCCTAGTGTTTTAACTCTTGTATTTAGTTTTCTACTCTGTGCTATCATTTTGAAATACATAGTAAGAGGCTACCAAGTGACATGTGTGGGTTTAGAATGATTTCCTAGAAAAAGAAAAGAAGTGATTCCTCAAATTGCTAAAGGACCCTGAGTCACTGCACTGTGGCCTCAGGTGCCCTTCTAAAGCCCATTTCCTGTCATCGTCTCCCCTCTAGTGAAGCCAGAGGCCTGGGTGTCCAGAGGCCCCGCTCCCGGCCCTGGCCGTCTGCTGCTGGTGTGCCACATCTCTGGCTTTCATCCAAAACCTGTGTGGGCGATGTGGATGCGGGGTGAGCAGGAGCAACGAGGCACTCAGCGAGGTGACGTCCTGCCCCAGGCTGACGGGACGTGGTATCTCCGAGTGACCCTGGATGTGGCGGCCGGGGAGGCGGCCGGCCTGAGCTGCCGGGTGAGACACAGCAGTCTAGGCGGCCATGACATCATCATCCACTGGGGTGAGAAAGAACGGGGGCCCAGCTGGGAGACGGCAGGCTGCCTAGAGTCCAAGGGCTAGTGAGTAGAGCTCGGGAAATGGCTAGAAACGCCATGCACAACAGGATAAAAGTGGGAGAAGTGTGGAGGATGACTGCAGTTGAATTTCAGGAAAATGCTAGTAGGAGTTAGAGATACTAGACAGAAAAGGAAGAAGGATCTATGGATTTGGTGAAAGAGAGAGGGATGGGAGAGACCAGGGACATAGAATCAGGAGGAAGTGAAATGAGAGCTCTAGAAAATACAGATGAAAACTCTGGGGAAGTCCCACCCCTGTGAAATGAGAAGCATTAACTGCGGCAGAATAGAGAGAACTTTATAGACCAACTTCCTTATTTGATCCCCAACTAGGTGGATACTCCATCCTCCTGACAGTGGCCTGTTTGACAGTGATCTGTTTAGCAGTGATAGTCACCATGGTCATCTTGGTTGTCGCTGACTTATCCTCTAAAAAGCAGAGGTGAGTCTTTTCTTCCAGTGTTTCTTCAACTTCTTACGAACTCGTTCTTCTTTCCTCTATTTTCTTTTTCCTTCCCCCTTTCTCTCTGATTTCCCCTTTTTTTGAGATCAAGATCGTCTTCTCCCACAGCTCAAATCAGAATGTCCTCTCTGCCCGTGTCTCCCACCCTGCTTGTCCCACAAGAGCCGACACCCAAGACCCCAAGAGTTCGGGACATCAGCTCTCTTTGGCATGGGAATCGTGGATCAAAAACAGACCCTTAAAGAAACTGAAAGCCAGCTTAAAGCAACTCTGGTGATGCTAGTTTTACCTTCCATATAAAATCCTTTTCTCCTTGTTTAAAAACATGGTTCATACCTATAAACAAAGCATGATTTATTAAAACAGCTTGCTCTGGTAGAGATTCTGACTCTTTTGGAAATCCCATCTTCCAGCAATATCTTTTCTGCTTTGGCCACATGTTCATCCCTGATCCTTCAAACTCTAATTCAAATGCCTTTTTCTTCAGAGCTTCCCTGAATTGCTCACTTAAAAGCTGTATGTCCCACACTGGACTGTTCTTCCTAAATACACTCATCTCTTCCTACCCTGAACAGTAACTTTTTTACATTGCTGTGCTTTTCTCTCATTTGCCTGAAAGTAAGATTTAGGTGTTTATATTTGTGCCCATGACAAAAAGTCTTCCCTGGATTCAGGGCTAACTTCATGGGCATGTGACCTGTGCAGCTGTTGCCATCTTGAAATCTTACTCACTTTTGCAGGAGAGATAGTGCATTTTCATTTCATATTGGCCCTACAAATTACATAGCTGGTTTGGCAGGAATTAGATACTTCTCAATAAATGCTGACTGAAATAAATGTATTGTTAAATAAAGTGATGTTGTCTTAATCCCTTTCCTCATTGGCATCTTTGCATCATTTGGCTGTGCTCTTATTAAAACTTTTCCTCTCTCCCTTTGTCTCTCACCAGAGGTGAAGGAGGCAAGTGAGTGCTTCGGACTCATAGCCATTGTGGTATTTGTGCATCTTCAGAAATACTTAAAGAAAATAGTAACACTTGAGATGTCTCCTGTCAAAGTCAGGGTGCGGTTAGGCTGACATCCCAACTTCTCTGAGATTGTGAGTCACCATGTGTGTCTTTGTGGATGCACATATTCAGCAGATAAATTCATATTTTGGGAAGTTAGGAAGAAAACATGGAGACTGAGGATAATTTTTATGAGCAAAGCCAAGGCAAAGAAGGAAAAGATTGATCAGATGCCAGTTTAGTTGTGTGTTTACCTTTCTTTGTTATTTTGATTTATCATTATAACGGTTAATTATAGCTTATTTTCTCCTTTTAAATATGGATTTTAAAATGATCTAATTGCTTTAATTGAGATACATTTGATCGAGCCTGTTGGAGAGGAGGAAGCTGTTAAGGTTCTGTGTTCATACTGATGTCCAGGCAACATCTTCCCTGGGATGAGATAATTGGGCAGATTGTGTAGACTTCTTAGTGGGAATTTAATACGTCATACGGGACCTTCTCAAGTTAACAGATGGGGTTCCACGATCATTTACATATGCATGTATATGTATGACTGAAACATGATGCTGTACACCAGAAAGGGACACAATTGTAAACCAACTACCCTTCAACTAAAAAACAAAACAGGGATAACACCTCCCGTTCCTGCCACCTATAAAACCAACAAAGTAACCAGCTTTGCTAGCAGGACAATCATGGAGCTTACTGTATTTTGATGTGTACACAAATGCAGTTGGAACAGTACGAGATGCCGACAGCGCTGCGGCCGCCTCGGAGGGCAGCCTGTCTGCGACGCGCCTGGCTCCCCGCGAGCAGGCGTTTCTCATCAGGCGCACGTCGGGCAGCCGCTCGAGGGGTCCTTGCGGCGGCGTCCCGGGGGCCTCCGGGGACCTTGGCGCCGGACGGAGGCGGCGGGGTGAGAAAGCCGTCGGTGAGGGCTTTGGAAAAAGAGATGGAGGGGATATTCTTGGTTGTTGGTAAATTTCTCTAGGAACAGCTTTGACTGTTGGAACACTGATGGAATACTGGAGTCCAGAGTCAGAAAAGCACAGCGGCCATATATGCCCTGGACTTAGAACATGTTTATCTGAAATCTTCCATCTAATGCACGGAATGAGCTGAGCATGCGAAAGACTTGAGTTAAGTGGAATGACATAAACTGAAACGGGGACCCAGGCTTCCAAGCACACCACCTGCAGATGAAGGAAGATATTTATGCAGCACCTGCTCTGGGCGGGTGAGTGCGGGGGGAGAGGTACTACTGTTAAAGGCTTCTTCAGGCTACCCACAGAAGGTAACTATCCATCTTTGGGACTTAGACTTTACCCTTAAAAATTAAAACCAGTTTACAGTTTTTCTTCACTGGCCATTTTCTCATTCATACTTTCCTCTGTAAATAGACCCATCATTTTCCTAGTCCCTCAAGATCGAAATTTTCTTCTCTTTGCTTCATCATTCTTCCTGAGTAGCCAATCACCAAAGCCGTCTTTGTAAGTTCTCTTACACTCCATTCCCTTTTGCATCATCCTGATCCAGGTGTGAACACCACTGGCGAAAATGTAATGAAAATCAATGATCCCAGTATCTGTAATGCAATGACCTCATATTGAGCATCAGCTTGGTTATTACAGCCAATAAGAGAAGTACGTATTTTATGGTTAAAGCTGATTGGATACTTAAAAAAACAAAAACAAAAACAAAAACAAAAACAAACTTAATTGGAACCTGCTGCAGGCCACTCTTCTACATACTTTGTACATATTAACTCATGTAGCTCTGGTTACCATCCTGAGGCGGATACCATTATTCTCATTTTACAGATGAGGAGACATTAGTTACATAACTAAGTATTGTAGGCAGTTTTTGCTTCAAAATCTATGCTTTAAACACGACACCACACAGACAACAAATAATTATTAGACGTCCACCATGGATAGGTGCTGTGGTAGGTAATGAAATACAATAGAGGTGCAAGAGTAAAGTATCCTTACACTGAGAACTTACAGGATGGTGGATGGCAGGTTAAAAGTATATAAAAGTATATAAAAATACTATACATAAGGTGATGATGTGTGCTGTAATTAAGAAATGACTTAGGGAAAGGAGATCAAAGAGAAAAATGGGCCACTATTTTTAAAATGGTGGACAGACTGGGCCACTCTAAGAAGATGGCTTTTGAGAAGAGACCTAAAGCAAGAACGAGAAACAAGCCATGCCATATTTAGGGGAAGAGCATCGCAAACAAAGCAACTACACATGAGAACAGCATTAGACTGGGTGTGTTCTGAAATCTGTAAGAACTCCAGCACAGCTGCATTGGAGTAAGTGATGAGGAATGGTAGGAGAAGAGGCCGTAGAGTTGGAGTCAGATCAGAAAGGAGCCTTACAGGCCGTGGCGCAGTGACTGAAAGTCACTGGACAGTTTTGAATGAATGTGTAGCAGTTGTTAGGTAAAAGGAGATGAATTCTTAACTACGAATTTTATCATTGGATGACTACAAAATTGGACACAATTGCGTCTATACCCAAATTGCAGTGACCCTGATCTGCTTATTGCATATGAACTTAGTCCTGCTAAAAGCATGTCTCGCCTATGCTCACAAACCAGATTTTCAGCATTGGTTGCCAAGTGGCATCTGATTTGTTTGTTTTTTGTTTTTTCTCTCTAGTTTATACTTCCATTTGCCAACTGTCTGCTGCCCACAAGATTTCTAAGAGCAGCTTTATAGCTTCCGCTGCTGCCATGGTGACAGTGTGTCCTTTCCCAAAGCATCTGACCAATCCTCTGGTGCCTTTCGAAGGGCTGCTCCATACAGAGGCACAAGGTATGGCTTACCCCTCAGTTCTCTGTCTCATTTGATGCCCAGTTCCAGGAGCTGCTGTGCGTGTGTCTAATCTCCTAAAGCCTCTTGTGTACGCTAACGTCAGCTCTGACTCTTACCCATCTCTTGGGATTCAGTAAAGGATCTCTTAACAACTTTTCCTTCAGTTTCAGTTGGCTGGCCAAATTATCTAGTTAAGTCATAGCAGCAAATGAAATCGTATAGGTTGCAAAGGATTCACATAGACTCAATTTGAACCGAACATGTTAAAAGATCTAAAAAGTATTTTCAATCTCTGTCGTTATTTAAAGTGTCCCCAAAACACTAGAAGCGCATGTGCTTACCCCTAAGTTTTATATGTGCCCAGAACTGAGAGTTTACATTTATACAAATTCCCTTAAATGTAGTTGTCAGTGTATAAATTCCTCTAGGGGAGGTAGTTACTTCCATTTTCTGTCAAGAAAAATCTAGGCTACCAGTAGTCTTCAAATGAAGAGCAACAGTGATTCTCAAAATGTGAAATAAAGTATGTGAACGAAAAATACTGCAAACCATATCAATAAACAAAGAAGGCTGAAACCATCAAGCCATCAGCGGCTGGCGCCACCCCCCAGTGAAGACAAGCCTGCAGCCCAGCCTCTGCAGCCACTCACAGTGGTGCACCCTGAGGGGACTCAGAATAAGAAAGGACAGGATACTGGCCCTAGATAGCTAGGTGCTTGTCAAAGGAATGAATTCAGTGAGCCCAAATGTTTGCTTCCTTCCATAAATAGAAAGGCACTAAATTCTTTAACCTGAGATGCCTGCTTTTCTTTAGATAACAAGTAATCTTTTAATGTTCCAGCTACCTGGTCTTTGTTGTAAAGCTCCTATATATCCTAGCTCCTCCCCTGCCTCTTCGGAGCAGCCCCTCAGAGCCATCTGAGAGGTGGTCATCCCGGCTGGAGTCCTCCCGCCAAATAAAACATAACTCAACTTTTAGGCTGCGCGTTTATTTCAGTCTACAAGTATTTAGTTACAAAGCAAAAGATGTGTGAATGTTACAGTATGTGTTTAATTTTTTATTGATTTTTAATAAGTAGGAGTGTTACATACATACATTCTGTTAATTATACTTTCATGCATGCGTGGCTGTTTGTGTAAGCGGGCAAGACTAAACAGAGGAGATAATAAGCCAAGTAATCACAGGAAAAGTACACTGAATCAAATATAGGAAAGATTTGTACCAGCAATAATCATCTATGTAATAAGTGTTTCCAGAAAACCGGCCTCTGTACCCCGATAGTCAAATTGAGAGTCAGAGGCAGAGTTTTGGGGGCATTAGATAGGAACAGCTTTATAGCTTTGCCAGGCAAAGGGAGTCACTGCAGGCTGATGCCCTAAAGACTGTGAGCCTGCCTTGGGGGCAGGGTCCTGGGGTTTTATAGAAAAATGGGAACAGGAGGGTGATAGCAATCAGGGTGTGAGCAGGGGCTACATTCCTGTCATCTCAACAAGAGCTCGGTGTCGTTATGGAGGAATTTAGGAGAGTCTGCCCGTTTTCTTGAGGTTCAGTCCATGACCTTCTTTCAAGACCCCTAGTGTAAAAGGATAAGTTATTCTAAGAAAAGTGCGCACAGGGAGGGGAGCGTGTTAGTCATGAGGTCAGTTTAGCTGGAATACAGGCCTGAACCACTCAGTAGTCATCTTGTCAGTTTTCTTCTCTTTTGAATCCCCACTGTCAGTTCATTCCTTGCATTTCTGTGGAAAAAGGGAAACGGGCACCCATCTCCTCTTTCTGCTTCCTACTGAATCGGGGCATTGTCTGGGGATTCTTCCGATGGAAGGAGCGAGCATGATCATGCCAATTCTTAGGGGGTTTTAGAAGAGTCTCAGTGGCCCTTTTACAGAGACAGGAATACAACGAAGTATGAGTGGAACAAGTAAACAGGGAGTCTTTACGATTGATTTGTTATCTTTGCTATTATTACTTCTCTTGCCTGAGAACAGTTTGTTTTTTGTTCCCTTAAGATCATTA